GTTCTAATTGATACGATATTCTGTATGTAATAAAGTAGCAACCGTAAAAATAATTGAGTTATGAAAGTTGAGGTAGCGAGAGACGTTCGTGGCGATCACATCTTCAGAAAACAGATCATCATCATTAACAGCCGTACTGGCTGGGCAAAGGCCTCCCCCATTGATCTCTACGCGGATCGGTCCTGCCTGCGCTGCCCGTTTACAGCTGCTTCCTGTATAAAATCTTCGGTCAGAAAATACATAACACGTTGGGGAATAAGTTTCTTGGTATTTAATATGAAAATTTAAAACATTTTTTAATAAAGTTTATTTACATTTAACTAAAGTGTGTAGATACCATTTTGTTCGATACTTTTTGCCATCTTGTAGGTAGAGACATGATCCCATTGCTATTGAAATTTTGGGGCTTCCGATCAAAAAAACACGACAAGTGCATTTGGCAGTCCTCGCGTGATGTTAGATATCGTAATTTACGAGTGCGAAAATTGTGGTGTTATTACTCTGAATTATTCGGCCATTTACAGTCGTTGAGTATGGCCTTACCTGTTTCCAATGTTTTACGTACTTTTTTCGATTGATATATTCCGTGGCTTCTCCGATCATAATTTCACTCAGCCTTTATGGACTAAATTAGAATCGTAAGAGCCCGTTTAACTGTTTAAAAAAGGGACAAATGATTAAATCGTTAGCCAACCTCCAGTCAAATAGACAGAATAAGATTATAAGAAAGACTGATAATGCATAGTAGAGAAAGATTTAATGGTATAGTTTGCCACGTTGCATATTTTTTTTTTTTATACAGAGTCTGCCTATACAGGCTGTGGTGATTGCTCCCTGACGAATTAAAACCGACTAAAATATTTAACGCGACCCCCACATCGAGGCGTCGTCTATTAAAATCAACCCCACCATCTATGTATTTAACTATGCGTGGTGACAATTAAACACCGGCGGCGGATTTAGTGACGGGGCGTTAATAATATCGCTCGCAATTAGAGGGGTAACATGGACGTATTTTTCAGAACAGGAATTTTATATGCAAACATAAATGAAATTATAACTCGTCATGACTGTTTCCTAAAAGGGTGAGATGAAGAAATAATTGATGTCTTTAGACTTCGTATTTTATAGTAAGGATTATGAGATAGACATATCTCATCGCTTAGTGCAGCCCCTTCCCTCTGACAACTTTCGAAGGTCGTCCCACTGAGGATTCTACGGTGTATCTTCTCACGCTCGGTGAGTCTCGTGAAGATGTAGCCTAGCCGCCTCGGGGCGTTGCTTTGAAACGTTATCTCGTTGAACGTGTGCAGATCAAATGGTAGCTGTTCTTAATGCGGCCATTATTTTGACTTCATCAATATAGTATGATTCCAGTCCCGTATTTTCATCTACTTTACGTATTTCAATATTTATTGTATTGGTTTTTTCGTCCAATCACATAACCGCTGCTTGACCCCTGAGATTAGTAATAAATAGCCCCGATTTTAAACTAAATCGTACTATCAAATTGTTTGATGCAATCTAGGAGCATGAAATGTCTGTCTTAAAAGGGTGATGATGCCTATGGCATCAATTTTTTTTTATAGATGGTAGCCACAGAGTATAAAGGTCGAATACCGTTTAGTCATGTCTACGGTTTATTCTCATTGTTTTGTGGTTAAAAAGAAATCAATCACCCGTACTCGGAAGTGGACTATTTGTCAGACGACGAATTAATGAGCTTTTACTCGCAACCGCACTGGCGGACAAATTAATCGATTTAATATACGATAAATACGTGTTAGAAACTAGAGAGAACGTCACGAAAATATTACATCTTGATATTATCAAGCGGTAAATTGATATGCCAAGTTAAAATTGTTAAATCCTACCATACTTTTTGTGAGGAGCTCGATGACGCAGTGGGTAGTGTGTTCGGTCTTTGATTGCAAAAAAATCACAGAGGCTGGTCATGAGGTGGGTGGTCAAAAGATGTTACATTTCCGCCGGTTAAAACGTTGGTCTTGCCTACGTATGCGATCATAAACACCCATCGATCCGGACTGGACTCTCTGTTCAATTGACTAATGATGGTAATGAGTAATGTTAACAAATTGTAGTTTTTTTTTACTTCTGTTATGTTCAGACAGCGTGACGAATTGACATGCTTGTCTGTTACGAGATAGTCGGAGGGCCCAGATGCTTTTACCGTTACAAATACGTATTATAATTCCGATGAGAAAATATGTTACATACAATACATCATATAATAACCGCAAATATCAGTAACGTTATTTTATGTTAGACAACATCACGTATATAGGCTAAAGCACTTGTCTTATGGAAATATAAAACAACGAAGGTGTTGAACGAACACCCTGACTGGGGACAATATAGGGAAACTCCTTTTCTATAATATCGTCACCGGGATTAAAACCCACGCTCTAGAGGTGGCGACACCTTGACAGGCTGCCACGGAGTTTGCTAGTTCAGTTCTAGTTTCTATTAAATTAAATTATAACATTAATTAACTTTATCGAACATAAATATATCTACGAAATCGCATCGGTAATATTGAAAGTACTAAGTGCAGTTTTATAGTTCCCGATGTGATTTCTCCTCCTTCAAGGACACTCGGGCAGTATAATTTATTTTCTCCATAGGATTGAAACATAATGAAACTTTGTCCTTCCAGTTATTAGTTAAAGAAAATAAGCGTGGCCTTTAAAAGTAACACCCTATTAACCTTACCGGAGCAGAATTGATTGCACATAGTAATTTGTGATGCGCATTCAGTTATTTCGGTATATAAATTAGTAATACCCCGTTACAAATTATTATTAATCTTCATTATTATTATGTATAGTGGCCGCCAGCGACTTCGTCCGCGTTTTCCATTATTTCTTCGCTCCTAATAGTTGCAGCGTGATGTTATATAGCCTAAAGCCTTCCTCGATAAATGGTCTATTCAACACAAAAATAATTTTTCAATTCGAACCAGTAGTTCCTGAGATTAGCGCGTTCAAACAAACAAACTCTTCAGCTTTATAATATTATTATGTATGATCCACTGAATTTGTTACATAAATCGTATATCATAAAAACACATGAACCATTCGAAGTAAAAGCCATTTATGTAGCACGATTAAAATCTTAGTTTCACCCTAGTTCATGACGTAGTCATTAATTATTTTACATAATTATTTTTATCTACATAATATATAATGCGATGTCTGTCAGTCACCCCTCATTTGACTAAGCGGCGTGTACTACCTCGTGCCTGTAATTTTCCCGGGACACGGATGTTTGTCCCGGGGCGCGCGTTCCCATCATTACCGTCACGGTTCGTCGACTATTCACTCATCTAGGGCTGCCACTGTTAACTCTTATTTAACATGTTGCTTAATATTTATGAAAATCTTCGAAGTAATATTTTTTTAATAAATTTTGCAGTTTGGATTCATATTATATTGATATTCTTATCTTATGAAATCGAGCTCACGCCTTGTTGCCAGTCAGGCAACTGCTTCAACCGGTGATTTTAACGAAACCGTCTAAATTTCTCAACAAGGGACTTGTTAATATCGTTACTAGTGAGAATGAATCAATCAGCGTTTAAGTAATCTACCTGAACAATAGAAAAAGAGAAATATATTTCAAATACTTGTATTAAAGTATATTATCAAGCTAAGAAAATATTAATCGTCTTATTATGTACTTTAGTACGAAGTTTTTTTTTTAAGCGAAATATTTATTTTAGGACCTTGGCTAATTGTTACTAGTATTTTAAATGAACCGATGTCTTTCTTTATTTTAAATTCAATATTTTTAAGATAAGTAGTGATAATTTATCAAATCTTGGACGCGTATTAGATGAAAACATCTAGAAGCTTATAAGACTTGTCAATATCTGAAATAAATAATCTAAATCATAGTATCTTTATTCAAATAAACTTATTGTAAGTACCGTGCAACGTTTTATCCCCACCACTCGTTCAGATTGTTCTCCCGGTGCCAGCCCTACATGTGCGGTCGGTAGTTGACATCTGACAAATACCGCAAGAGGTGTGTAGATAGTAGCGATAACGCAACGTCACGCGCCGTCAAACATATTGTCGTCATTATGTATTTAAAGCCGTTGTTTAATTATAACAGCGAGCCTTAATGTATATTCTACCTATTAGAGTATTATTAATAATGTTTTTCTAGTAATGAAATATGTGTCCATTTAATGTATTCTGTAACTACCTGGCAGTTTACCTAGTAGAACATGTAAGCATATTAAAAATGTATTACTAATTACTGTATGACTATTAGGAGAGACGTACGTATGTAGGAATTAAACCGAGCCAATATATCTTTTCGGCCTAGTTTATCTAGGGTTAACTGAAACACGTTAACTAGGTACCGTTTGTTTATAAATACATATTTATGTAGTAATACTAGTTTTGTGTAAATGTACATAAACATGAAGGGTATCGGAAAAATGTGACTCTTATTAAAGTTAATTATTAGTTTATGAAACAATCTAATTAGTCCGTTAGTCAATAATAGAAAAATATCAGATAATGTTTTTCTAGTAATGAATATTTACATATTTTTTTCTTCAATTTACATATATAGAAATTGCTTAGATAATAATAGACAGTATAATTGAGGAATGGGGGTTCGATACGTCACAACTATGAAATTATATACAAAGGTGTTACGTCATGTGACATTTCTACTCAATGTATCGCCTTAATTTATTGTAATCAATAAGAAATGAAAAACGCGTATTTAATATTCTTCAAAATGTCATCGAGAGAAATAGCCATAACTCACTTCTGGGGCCCAGTGAGGGTGCTACTAACGTCTATGGAAAAAACTGGCACCGAGCTCTTGACATAGGTACTTTCCGAAGCAAAAGATAAAAAGTTTTGGCCACCAATCCGATGACCGGCCTCTGTGAAAGTTGCTCCACCTCGCCTTCGAATTTCTCGCCAGGTTTAACTGAATCCATTTTGTTGTCTTTCCAGGTGCGAGCGCGAACAAGATCGCCAAGCGAACGGAGCTCGCGCCGAACAAGGGCGGTCCGTTCGCGGCGGCGCTGCGGACGCTCGCCAAGAACGCCGGCCCCGAAGCGAAGGACGGTGAGTCCATCATGCCAAACAACTACACCCCCACAGATCTGACGATGGGCAGCAGGTGACGATACTCCGAAAGGAGACTTGACACTGATGAGTTATTTATTAATTTTGAGACGACCAATTTTATCTATAATATTGGATTGTGTTGTCATAAGCACAAGCTCTGGCGAGCTGTTACATTCTTACATGTGTAGAAACTAGACAACAAGATATTGTCAATTTAGTATAAAATTACATTAGGATAAATTAATTACAAAGTTCGTTTTTACTTAGAATTAATAATTCTTATAAATATTTGATACTGTCAAATAGAATTTAAAAAAAAACCTATAAAATATACTTAAATTAACTATGAATTCGTGTATCTCTACTAGTATAGTATTATAATATCCGTGTCCTAATTTTTAAAACATTAGGTAAAATTGGTTTCGTTTTCGTTTCTCATATAGTGAAGTGGCACACAACTATTGTGTCCATATTTTAAGTTAACGAGAGGCTTTTGAAAATTTCTAAATTTCATCATAGTGATATTTATAAAATTGAATATAAACATGTAATCTGCTGCCCATCAACCATGCTTCGATACCTTTTTTCGTTTAATTTTCATTAATTTATAATAACTAAATAATTCCAACACTTGTTGGGTTGTAAAGTCCATAATAATTATGTATTTTTATACAAAATATAAGCAATTATCATGATTGTGATGGTTGACCAAAGAGCTCGTTATGTGAGGACCCTTTAGTCAGCCTGTGTAGTCTAGTGATGTAATTGTAATTTGTTTTTGAAGTAAAATAACTAAAAGATAGGCATAGTGGTGGAAACGTTTATAATACGTCAATTTATTTTTGTTCTACGCAGTGATTATAGGTATATCTTATACAATAAGCAGGTTTAATTGCATTTACGAGCTTATCTGTGTGAAAGTTTTGCTATGAAAAAATGTATATGTTATCACAGCGTGTAGATGTAATTCAATCACCTCGCGTCCCGTCTAGCTAGAGGATATATTGGTAATGTTGATACATACAACCTGTCGATGATCCGTGACATAGAATTTAAGCTTTATTAAAAACGACTATTTAACTAATTTAATTATCGCTGTTCGTCATATTTTTTGATTGATCATTATAACGTCCAGACAATTTTTTTTTAAACTATGTAATAAACTGAAATGGCACAGTTCGTGATTTTAAATTTTACCATATATATAATACTAGTGGCCGCGAGCGACTTCGTCCACGTTTTCCATTATTTCTTCACTCCTAATAGTTGCAGCGCGATAAATGGTCTATTCAACGCAAAAATAATTTTTCAATTCGAACCAGTAGTTCCTGAGATTAGCGCGTTCAAACAAACAAACAAACTCTTTAGCTTTATAATATTAGTGTAGATAAGAAATTAACTTTAAAGCTTTAATTATACTGTTTGAAGAATATTAAGTATTATTAATTTTGTTTAAAAGTGTTACCGTGAATTCTGAAACGCCACGCAAATGCGTTTGCACGGAAAAATTATTCTGGTATGTGTAACCATATTCTGGTTACCATTACAATATTTATTGCTCTATATGTGACGACCACTCGTATCGTAAGCGTTACACAATGATTCTAGTTAAACATGAATTGTAGTTGTCACATTGTTATTGTTAATTTTACTATTTAATTTTTCAGGTCTACAATCCTTTTTTGTTCTACCAACAAGAAAGTTTGCGTTGTTAATCTAAAGTTTTGTAAATAACATATAAACGTTTAATTAAATTTACTGAATGTCATCGTTTAATTTACAACAAAAAAAATTACTAATACGATTTGTTGTGTACCTCTGACAAATATTGTATTATAAATGGAACATAATGATACGTTCACATTATAAAATGACTTGTAATGACAACAATAGAGTATTGTGTAGGTAACTTCTTATTTTGTAAATGGACCAGAAAAAAGTAGTTGACTTTTTCCACCGGAACTGTCGGTAAAGACGTGATTGCTTAAAATGTGCTTTTATTTCTCAAGATTCATTAAGTTTTCCGAAAAATAAAAGCTCTGAACTTTAAGCAATCACGTCGATACACGACAGTTCCCGCAGAAAATGCCAATAAAAGAAAAACAATCAATAATAAGAATCAACACTTTTATTAATTAAAACGTAGAATCAATTAAAAGTAGCTGATACCCTGTCGGCTTTTTTAAAATAGGGTACTCATTCATGTAGTCAGATACTGTTATATTTTTAGTCTCTTCAAGTCTAATATTACATGTATTTTTCCTTTTCTCTTCAACTGTTTTCCAAGGCTCGCTGGATTTTCTAAGCCACTCAAGGTCTTTATGAATATTTTCTGAAAATATAATATGATTCATGAACTTGGCACCGACAGATTAATGCCTAATGTCCCTGAAGTGGGAAATGGTAGTAAATATCTATACATATAATAAAATCTTAGGAAAGTCAAAACTGTACATTGAATATTTTGTAAAAAGAATACTTGAGGTGTGATCTACAATCGATATCGAAGCCAAAAATATAGTTTTTAGAATTTTTGTCTGTCTGTTTGTATGTCCGGGCTAAACTCAAAAAGAACTGCATGGAATTACTTAAAATTTTGCATGAATATTACTATGAGGTTGGGTCAACACATAGGCACGCGGACAAATTTGCGGGCAAAAGCTCTATATATAATTAAAAGTATGTAAATCAAATTCTTACTTCTTCTTACTTATCCATCAAGGTCTTCCAATTGTTTAAATTTTGAATAAAATTTACTCTATGTCCAACTGGTGGTCTGAGCTCCATAATAATATGCGAGTCCAACATAATTAAGCAGTCCATCGTAATGTGGTTTTCTGAAATTAAAAATGCATAATAATTAAAAAACATATAGATCAGTCAGCCCGGTACCTAATATCTAAAAAAAGAGGTAAGGATTTACTTTTATATCCCAGTCCCACCTACATCTCACAACATAACATTTTGTATATCTACAAAGTTATGTACTCATACGCAGCTCTGGGAGAAAAAGAAAAACAGCTGCCATCATTCCCGTGCAAGATCCAAAATCAGAGTATCAGGCTGAAGGAAAAGGACATTTTAAAGTACTCTATTGAGGCGACTGGCTGATGAGCACTTGTCATATCACTACTCAGTAACACAATAAAAACATCTAGCCCCCTCGTCAGACGTGGCCGCTTATGTGAATTACACCGTAGGGCTCTGCTTGCCCCGATATATGAGCGTGATTATAAGTACCTATGTATGTAATCTAAAAAGTCAGGCGTATATCATTTCTGATGAGTACATATGAAATAAATAAAACTTACCAGAGAACACATCCACATAACCGCTGACAACCCAAGCAATAAGTAAGTTTCTGACATCTTCTTCCATTTCAATTTTAAAACAATAAAACACGATTAGGAAGCGTAATGGTGGCGATCGGCGGGCGATTATTTCCAGTATAATATTGTAATCTTTGATCCTATCACTGTCACTTCACTGCGCGCGCGACTAAAAGAATGAAAAATGATGCAATAAGTTCACTGCCCCTCACCCCCCGCATCCCGATTGCCGCCTAGCCACGCAAAGTTTTGCAAATGCAACATCACTGATTGTTCTCTATACTAATTATATTGTAATTACAAACGTATTTTCAGTACTCATCATAACTCGTGTTGTAGATTTTTAAAATACAATTTTTCTTGTAATGTTTAATATACTTTCAGAGCTGATTACAATATCAGAAATAACAGAACTGTAATTGTATTGCTTACAAAATGTCAACTTATGTTAACAATATTTCTGTTTCCGTGTACAAAATTATAGTTATCTTTACAGTATTTCTCTTTACCTACACGTTTTGTAGTATTGTAAACTAAAAAGTTTTTCCGTGTGTTAAGCGTGTGTGACACTGTCCCGCTTCAACTGCTACCATAGTATCGTAATAAACAGCAGGCTATTACTTGTAAAACATTAACTCGATACATACTTAATGTCAATTGGTACATTTAATGACCACGCAATATTAAGCCTATTGGCGCTAGTGTAAACGTCATAATTGCAAATGCCGATCGACCCCGATTACGTTTAAGAGTAAGCACGTTGGTCGTGGTAACGCTTCTACGACCTCATCTAGGCAATTCTGTTTAGATGATGTCGTGGACCGTTCAAGGGTAGACTTATCTAGTCGGTTCTCACAGGTCACTCTAACGGTTAGAGCGACCTGTGAGTTTGATTAGAGTCTAACCAAACTCTCCTGAGCGAAACCAACTGTAAACTGTTCTAGGTAAAACAGATTTATGAAAAAATTGGACCACACCTACAATCTACAAACTATTTTGGTTAAATTGCCTCGCAGGCAGGTCAGGTGAGCCTGTATGTCTCTCTAGCTAGACGGATCCTTGTCGAGAGGAATTTGTTAGCGATTTCGTTTATATGTACCCATGGAGAGTTGTAGATAGGTATGGTAGGGGGTAGAGTAGGATACGAGGTGTTACAGTAGTACAGTAGTAGTGACCGGCGAGTGTGCAGGAGCAGCTGCCGGCGGCGAGCACAAGGACAAGCCGGCGGCCGCCAAGCGCGCCTCCCCCCACCACCTGCCCGCCAGCGGGTTCCAGCCGTACAGGCCCGACGACAGGTGAATAGCTACACTGCTCTATACATAGTTACTTTCTGGCTATTCCGAATTATTCAATTGTTTTATAAAACTACATTTCATATATCGCCAAGTTCCCAAATGAAGTAGTTAAAGCGCTGGTAATTATAGGAATCTGAAACAACAAAGGAACTCTGATTCCTAAACTCGAAACAATATAGAAAGGTTCATTTTTTACTACCACTCGACCGAGAATCACACCCGGGACGCCAGATATATCGACACTGCAGACACCTCGAAACGGGCGGGCGTGCCACTCGGCCGCGGTTCTCTGTGGATTGTAACGTATAGCATGTGTGACGTGTGACGTGTCACGCAGACTGACCCACCCGGCGGCGGCGGCCGCGGCGGCGGCGGCGGCGGCGGGGGCGGGCGCGTTCCCGCTGCTGGAGCCGGCGCAGTACTCGCCGTACGCGCACCCCTCGCTCTACTCCAGCGCCGCGCTGCAGTACAGGTACGGTCCGCATCCACACCACACCACACGGGCCTAATTCTAGTGCCATATCTTTGGTCCGATGTAACAATATATTAACTCGTGAAATTTGTCTATGGGTTGGCTTTTAACTAAATAAACAAGGAAACGATGGAACCAATTGAAGATAGTAAAAAAAAATATTTCAAAATTACCCACATTTTCAAATATGTCAAAAATAACCCCGAACCGGCGTTGAGGTATGAAAAGGTTAATGTTTGTGAAAGAAGCGAAAGAGATATGTCAGGATCGTACAAAATGGAAGGAGGTGGCCGGGAGAAAGACGTGACAATATAGATAGATGTGAAAATAAATCATTGTGAATACTGTATGTGAAAAATAATTTGAAATAGAAAAGTTGTTAAATGAAATGAAAATGTCTTTGTCTTTATGCTTAAAAAGCAGTTTTGAATCGCCAAAAAACTTTTTGAAGTGGCAGCGGGTTGGACGTATAGCCTGGTAGCAGCACTCGTAGTGCAGAACTGTCCTGGAATGGACACCATGAAGTCGAAAGAGCCGAATAAAAAACACATGCGTTTTATAGGGCATAATCTCTTAATATTATCAAAACTATAGTGCATGTTATAGTCCCTCATTTGGTTGCTATATTTAACCATTACATAGAAGAAGGAACTTTTCCAAATCTTATGAAGCTGAATAAAGTTATACCTCTTTTCGAATCCGGTAATAGGGAAGACCATAGTAATTAAAGACCTATATCAATATTACCGACGTAAAGTAAAATCTTCGAAAAAATAATTCTTGAGCAGTTATTGCTATACTTTAGCTTAAATAAATTATTACAATATGGTTTCACAAGAGGTCGCTCTACTACTGATGCTGGCATAGCACTTGTCAATCATATGTTCAAAACTTTGGGGGGTCTCAGTTCTAGAACTCAAACTATAGATATAAACGGTACAAGATCATCTGATTCACAAATGAAAATGGGGACTCCCCAGGGATCTTTTCTAGGTCGTTATTGGTCGAAAATTTGTGACAGTATGGTTTGCAGATGACTAGTTATCTCGTTATGTCGTACGGTATTCTGCTGGAGTATGACTACAGATAAAGAGTCTGTATTTATTTTACAAAAAAAAAAATGTATAATCTTTCTTCTTATGAAGTGGCCGGGCGGCTCTTTGGAGTGTTTCAAGCTACACTAGTCATAAATTTAAATCAGAGTAATCCCAACCGTTGCCATTTTGGCTTGTCTCAGTTCTTGATGTAAGTATCGCTTTTTACAGGTAACAATATACTTGTAACATTTTACCAAAAGTTAACAAGGGAAAATGCAAAACGAGTATCGAGTAAAGGCTGCGTTGTTAATCACGCAAGACGATATCGTTTCAAGCATTTTATGAGTGAGGTGTACCGAGTATATACGGGCTATCTCGGGTATTGGAGTTACATTTAACTTAGTTAAATGTGAATAATCGAGCACTTTCATATCTTTTACGCTATGATTATTCTTCTTCTTTCCTGTTCCCATTATTTGGGGTTCGGTCTCCTCGTATATTTACGTCAGGCGACATTTATCCTGTGGTTCACATCTGCATATATATGTATGCATCTTCTGTGAGTACGGAAACTAAGTATCTATTTGAATCAAGGTTCTTGTAGGACTGGTCTTTGACCAGTATATACCGTTTCGTTTGATGGAATTCTACTGCAATTGCACTTAGCATAGTCAGTTTTCGTTCTGCTTATTCACAGGAACATTGTCTAGTAAAGGTGTACGATAAAATATATGTTCAGCTATATTTCGATATGGCGGCGATAGGGGTTGTTTTTAATGTTGTGTAAAAATTTCTCCGTCTTTTCAGATTAAAAATTCAGATAAAAATTTTGCGTTATATATGTTTCCGGTTATTCTAGCCATTTTCCGCTTCTGATTATCTGCTTCACTGCTACACAAGAAGTTTCATTTTGTACCGCTAGAGAAAAGACGTTCAATTGTTGATCTTTGTTTCTTGCTTAAGGGCGAATGTCGTCGATTGTTCTCAATTATTTGGTTCGATTTCCATTATACCGCCTCGTAAAATCTTAAGATCGAATGCACCTATATGTGTCTTCCACAAGTTAATACTAATTACAAGTAAAATTCCTTTATATGACCTGCATGTAACGTATGCATCGAATTCGATTTCGACCTACTAGTTTTGAGAAAGCTAGACGTACATTGGTTAATAGTTTTTTTTTTAGAATAAAAGACTTCAATAGAAAGTTGTCCCGAATTTGGGACAGCTTTATTATATTTTTTCGGTCTTGTGTGTCGAATTCTGTTTACCAGTTTGCAAATCATCTGTGAGGACCTGTAAATGGCTTCATATAGTTTATTTATTAGCTATGCATCTGTTCTAGCTTTTGGTATTCTAAAAATAAATAAATAAATGTCTATAATATCTTCAAATATCATATTGAATAGAAAAACATTTCGCAAAATATGTTATATCATCGACGCTAAGTCGAAGGGCAAACTATGTGCGCCCATCGGTAAAGCAGCCATGTATCGGTGCAGGCTCGCGGCCGAGGAGCAGATGTACCTGGAGCGGGTGATCCGCAGCGGCGTGGGAGTGGGATGGCTGCCGCCGTACGCGCTCTATCCCCCTCTGGCGCCGCCGCTGCCGCTGCTGCCGCACGCGCCGCACCCCGCGCACCACGCCACCCACGCGCACGCCGCGCACGCGTCGCACGCATCACACGCATCCCACGCGCACGCCACCCACGCGCATGCGCACGCGCAGCACGCGCATGACGAGCGGGAGAAGGAGCTCGCGCTGCAGAGGGAAAGGGAGAGGGAGCGCGAACGAGAGAGGGAGAGGTGAGCCTTTAAAATTTTATTTTGTTAGCGTCGATGCAAACGTTTTTATTTCAAAATATAGATCCGATAAAAAAGATGTCCTATTTTTGTAAAAAAGCAATTTGAATTAAAGAGATAAAAAAAGTTAATTGATGTAAGAAAGTGTGATTAAAAAGAGTTATATCACGGTATTGTATCGTTTTCAATTACACACATTGCAGAAAAATATTAACGGTTTCCTTGAGTTCGTATAATTCATCCAAAATTATTGTATATTTACAATCATTTGAACCTTTTGTTATACAAAATTAAGTTGAATATTGATCAAGTCGTAAACCTTGCGCTATATTATTTTATTATGAAGTACAATAGATCTTGTGACCGATGTCGTTATTTATAACATATTTAATAAAATACTGATTTCTTATATTTTCACGTGGTCGACCTCAGTACGAGTATTGCGATTAAAATGTTATTGTTTATTCTAATTTTTGGACGGACGTGGAAGTCAATCTTTACTCTTTAGTGAAAAATAAATGAACTGCAATCGCAGACAATAAATATAACCGTTTACTAAAGGATACGTCGATCTCGATTCGCAGAGAGCGCGAACGAGAACAGCGCGAGAAGGAGCAGCGCGAGCGCGAGCGCGCCCAGCGGGAGAAGGAGCAGCGCGCGCGCGACGCCCTGCGCGACGAGCACCGCGCGCTGCTGCACGCGCACCTGGCGCCCTACCGCGCCCTGCCGCCGCTCCTGTACCGCCCCTACCGCCCCTACCCGCCCTACGAGCCGCGCGCGCCCGAGCCCGCCCCCGCGCCCGCGCCCGCGCCGCCCCCGCCCCCGCCGCCCGACGCCGCCAAGGACGAGCCGCGAGGTGAGCCCGAGCCCCCGCCCGCCGCCGCGCCCGCGCCCGCGCCCGCCCCCGCCCCGGCCCCGGCGTCCGCGCCCGCGCCCGTCTGACCCGCCGACGCGCCTTAGCCGCGACACGTTTTCCCCCCGCGTTCCGATCCGCGCGATTTCCGAGCGGTCTCCTGTCGTTCTGTGATTTATTTTTCGCTCGAGACGTTCGAGGAGCGTTCGACGTGCGGTGTCGGTCGTGGTTTTGGTTATTTTTTCGATTCGATCTCTTCCTTCGCGGGGACGATCGCCTCGAATCTTAAATATATTCCTCCGGAGAAATTCTCTCGAAATCCGGCCGGAACCGATTTCGATTCGAACGTTTCCGTTTATTGTCGCGTCCCCGATTTTTATTAATAAATTTCTCGAATCGATCGGTATCGGCCTTCTGTCTGTTCTCCCCGTCCCCCTCGAGTCCACTCTTTGATGATGTATATCCGATATCGTGTTCCCGTCGAGCGAAATCTTTCCGCCGATCCCGCCGCTCTCGACCGATGATATTGAAGGCATCCGACTCTGAATATTTTGTCCCTCTATCTTAAATCGGATAGAGTGGAATCTCCAGAAACAAAATTTTTGACTTGATCTATTTCAGTGACCCGGCTTCCGTGTTTTGTTGTTATCGTTTTTTAATTGCCCCGTGATCGAGTCGAAATATCGAAATGTGTAAACGGACTTGTAAATATATAATTATTAATATGACATATTATTGTTATAACTCTTTTGGGTGTTGCAATATTGTGTATGCGATACCGAATTTAAAACGCTTAATGTTCCTAACTGTAAAACGATTATTGTTGTGCCTGCATCGCGTCGGCCAACGACGTGACCCGTGACTATGTGTGAACGAT